GGTGAAGCTGTTGGGTTATATTTAAGATTTTGAGGAATAGCCATGTGGTTTTTGCAAAATGGCTATATATAGCATTTTAATACATTCCCACAAGGAGAGTATGAAGGTCCACTTCCTCTACATCCTGACAGTTATCTATCTTTTCTATTCTAGCCATTCTGCTGGTATGAAGTGACCTCTTCTTTGGGTTTTTTTTTTTTTGGTGGGGGGGGGATCTTTTTGAGGCAGGGTCTCTCTGTAGCCCCAGCTGGCCTGGAACTCAGATCCATCCACTCGTCTCTGCCTTCTGAGTGCTGGGATTAAAGGTGAGTGCCACTACGCCTGGCTTCTTTTGGTTTTGATGTGAATACCTCTCATAGCTAAGGAGTTGAGTATTCTGCCATGTGCATATTAGTTACATGTATGCCTTTGCAGAAATGTCTCTGGCTAAGACAATTCAACAGCTTAGCACTCACTCTGGGACCTAAATTCAGGATCTTATTGTAAAAAGACAATGTGGGGTGGGGCACTCACAGCCCACTACATCCTTTCCTCCGAACAACAGAAAGGAGGCAGACAGAAACCGAAGCACAGAAGGAGATAAGGTAAATGTGTGAGGTTGGGGGTTAATGATAGACACAGCCCAGTTTATAGAGTGCCTTCAGTATGGGCCTTCATTTAACTTTTGTCTGGCAAGATGATTTGAAAGCTGTAAATATCTTTACCAAGGGATTGGCATTGTAAAAGTAGCACTTAAAAATTATCCTTGAGCTTGAGGAAAGCAACAAGTATTTCACCTACTGAAAGCTACCAAGTTGCAAACTGTAAATAAAAGCCCAAGTTGAGAGTGGAAAATGAAAGCAAACTTGACAGACCCTTGAAACCTGATAGGTGACTGGATGCACAGTGAACAAAGCAGACACATTAGCACAGTCCACTGATCTTCGAAATCCAAGATTTCAAAATATGAGACTGAAAAATGGGCAAAAGGTCAATGCTAGAGATGCGAACTTTGGCAGTGCTTGCTCTCAGGGAAGAAGGAAAATCGGGAAGGTAAAATGTTCCTTCAGATCCTCCCAATCCCTGGACCTACACCTACACAACGCCAATCTACTTCTGTCACTTTCACTCAGCATAATGTTGCAAACTGAAGTTCCCAGAAAAAAAGAGAAGCCTCACATACCTCAAAGTTCTACAAGGTCAGATGCTGAACTCTGAAATTGTGGACAGTTAGAATGTTGCAGAGCAGAACCAAATTATCTAGCGCTGCCTCTCCTCCCTTTAAAAGCCATTCATTGCCCACTTCTGTGTCTGGACTAACAACCTAGTGATTATCAAAACCTTTAAAATGTATTCTTAATATAGGAGTCCTGTCCAAGGACCAGCATTCTGCAGACTCTTAATTTCTACGTTTTGGCCATTTGTGACCTTTTGTATTCCTGGACCTCTGTTGCATGAGGGAGCTTCATTAATGAGAACTGAGAGATTCACTAAGTATCCTCTTCTTTACCCCCATTCTATGCTCTGTGCACCTATATTCTGTGTAGAAGTTACATTGTATATGTGTCACTTAGGCCTGGGCAATTCATAGACAATGTATGTGCCCAGTTGTGGTACTTGGGGGAAATGAACACCAGACCCCAATCCTAGCTGAAGAAATATTGGCAACTGATTACTGCTGGGTGAGGAAGAGCTGATCTTCCAAAACAAGGGACTCTAGGTAGGCTGACTAGACCTCAGTGGATGGATTTGCACTGGGGAATATCTGGGGACACTGACTTGACACAGTGGGCCTTAACACCCAGGACAGAGTATATGGGTTCCAGTGGGAGGGCTATGGGAGGGTGCCAGTGGGGATGGGGTTATAAAGATGATTAAAATTGTTTGAGATATTGTATATAAAATACACAAAAATTCAATAAAAACAAAATTTTTAAATGTATTCATGGGGCTGGAGAGATGGCTCAGCAGTTAAGAGCACTGACTGCTCTTGCAGAGGACCTGGGTTCGATTCCCAGCACCCACATCGCCATAATGGGGGCCACCCTTAACTCCACCCTTAACTCCAGTTCCAGGAGAATCTGAAGCCCTCTTCTGACCGCCACAGCATTGCACGACATGGGTGCACTCACATACATGCCGGCAATACACTCATACACATAAAATAAAAATAATAAATAAAATATTTTTTAATGTATTCTTAGCTGGGCATGGTGGCGCACGCCTTTAATCCCGGCACTCTGGAGGCAGAGGCAGGTGGATCTCTGTGAGTTCAAGGCCAGCTTGGTCCACATAGTTCCAGGACAGCTGGGGCTACAAGGAGATCCTGTCTCAAAAAGACCGAAAAAAAAAAAAGTATTCTTAACAATATTCCAGCAACCCACAAGCTAAGATGATCAGACAACATCTAAACAGTTTCCATCTTTGCAGTACCCATTCCCATCAGTATAAGGTGAGTTCCTCGATTATGACTTTCTTGGTTCTGTAACTGATAAATCTCACACAGCCACTTCCACAGTGGAACACGTCTTTCAAGGCAACCTGAATCTGTGTTCTCAGGCCATGGTCATTCATACTTGACTGAATAAACTACTGCTTATTCCCTATTGAGGTGAGACTGTGTTTTTTTATATTGACAGTGTTTTAGAGATGCCCTTCACCCCAAAGAATTTGTTTCCAGGTAAACTTAGATTCCACTAATCATCAGAAAGCTGTATAAACTGTCCCAATGGGGAAAGCAAGCAAAGTCAACAGTTGACAGTACAAAGACTGAGAATATTTTCTCACAGTAAATAGCATCTAATACTCCTGTGACTACAATTCTTTGAGAAATATGTTCAAATAAGATCATTTCACCCTTATAACCAAACAGTCCAATTACATTGACTGCTACTGAACTATTCTGTAAATCTACCATAGGGTGTTTTTCCCTGCTCCACACTCCCCATCTCATGGCAATACCCAACCTACACTATCTCCATCTGGCTTCAGAGGCACATGAAATCAAGTGTTCAGAAGGACCCTGAATCTGGCTTAATACTCTGATGTCACTGCCTTGAAATTATATTTTTTAGCAAGGGACTCAGCATTCTTATTTCATACCAGGCCACACAAATTATGTGTTTGATCTAGTTTATATCATAAATGATGTTTATAATCTGTCACTAAACTACCCAACCTCATTTCTAGTCACTAGATCATTTTTGCCTTTAATATGTTCAATATAGTGAGGCAGGGCTTGATATGTCACTCTCCTGTGTATCTTTCAAAGCAACCAACATCCCTCACCTGTAAGTGTTACAAGACTGCGGTACAGACTGGGAAGCCAAGAAGGCAATAGGAACCCTGGGAAAAAGGAAAACATCTTTATATGCTTATGCAAATCACATGCTTAAAGCAATTCTGTTACCAGGGGGGCACTAAAAAATAAACTTTCTAGAGTCAGTAGAAAAGCTTCATCAAGTGGAAATAACTGTGTGCATACTTTGATACAAGGGTCATTAAACACATGTACCTCACACCATGTTGATGGATCTTAATTTGGTTCACTTCTTGAAAGGACTCCATGAAAAAAATTAATGCACATACCTGCAAGTTGACGGAGCTTTAATGAATTATTTACATGTTCACATACAAAATCAATCAATGTTTAAAGTTTTCCCTTATTTGAATCTCTAAGCTCACAGAAAATAGACCTTGAAATGAAATTTATATAATTTTGGTGAGCTAAAATATATTTTCATGGAAACCAAGAAAAATAATGCATTTAGATGAGGGAGGTGCCCTCCAGGTCTCAACCCCTACTGAGAAGCTATTGGCAGTTGACATCTGATGAGGAAGAGAGAATCATTCTTTTTAATGCATACATTGGTAGCACTAGTTGGACTTAGTAGGTTATCAAAAAAAAGACATGACGTTGGGAGGGGGATATGTCACGGGGATATAGGAGGTATTGGAAGAAGGAAATGAGAATGGATATGATCACATATCATTGTATAAATGTATGAAATTCTCAAGAACAAGAGTGGTGACATGTTTGTGTGACAGTTTTTCACAAATACATTTTCTAATACAAAAAAAAATGAGGTGTTTAACTGTGCTTTACGTTCAACATTAAATATCCTACGAACACCTTCGTCATCTCCTTTGGTGATGCTTGCATGTAACTGATAGTTTTGCTTTGGAAAATGTGTGTGTTTTTAAACATACAGTTCTAATTTTCCATTCATTTTATTAAAATAAAAATGCATATGGTTCAAATAAAAAATAAAAATGATGCCTTTAATTTTAATAATCTAAGAATGAATTTTCATGAGTTAAGTATTCTCCTGAGATCAGTATTGCCTTGTAGTTTACCTGGGTGTATTCTGTTTTGGTTTTAATATTGTCATTTTGTGGTGCTGGGCATTCAACTCAGGGACTTGCACATGCTAAGCAATTACTTTACCACTGAGCAATATCCCCCACCCTGGGGATTTGAAAAAAAAATATGTTCAGCATGGAATTACTATTAAAACAAAATTACATTGTGGAAGTATTTTTTGTCAGAAGAAAAAGTTATACTATTGTTAATATAGAATAATGCAAAAGATAATTTCTGGAATAAAAAGTATGAACTTTATGAGATTTTACTTTATGCCTCCTACATTTTAAGGGGATGGATGAAATTTTAAGAATCACAGAAAAACAAAAGGAAAATATCCATCTTTAAATACAAATTTTGTTTTCAACATTTAGTGGCTAAGCCCTCAATTAAGATATAGAAAACCTCAAGTCAGGGATTGTGCTAGACAGCTTCACTTGTCAACTTGACACACCCAGGTGGAGAGAACCTCAATTAAGGATTTCCTTCATTGGATTAGGCCTGTGGCCATGTCCGTGGGTTTCTTTTTCTTGATTGTTGAGTGACATGGAAGGGCACAGCCCACTGTAGGTGGTGCCACCCCTGGGCAGGTAGTCCTGTGTTGTTTTGTAAGAAAGCAGGCTGAGCACAGGCCAGGGGAACAAGCCAGTAAGCAGTGTTCCTCCACTGTCTCTGCTTCAGCTTCTGCCTCCAGGTTCCTGCCCTGACTTCCCTCTGTGTTAAACTGTTGCCTGGGAAATTTAAGATAAAATAAACCCTTTTCTCCCCAAGTTGGTTTCATTCAGTGTTTGTTTTTTTTTATCACAGCAATAGAAAGCTAACTAGAATAAGGATATAGCTCAGGAGTATGGTGCTTGACTACATGTACAGGGCCCTGGTTTCCAGTCCAGCATGAGACAGAGAGAACAGAGGGCAGAGAAGAGTGCGGAGAAGAAAGAAGGGAGGAAGGGGAGAGGGGAGGAAGGGAGGGAAGGAGAGAAGAAGGGGAGAGAGAAGAGGGGGGAGGGAGAGAAGAAAGGGAAAGAGAAGAGAGACAGAGAGACAAAGAGACAGAAAGAGAGGACTGAGACTGAGATTTGCTCTCAACTCTGCAGCACACCTTCCATTTGGGCCAGTCACCTCTTATGGTATAATTCTGTTGCTCAGAGAGACCTCTTTGGGAAGACTGGTGAACAAACAGGGACTATCTTAGGATCTTAAATTAGGGGTGATTTCCCTCTTGTCTAAACTGTTGCATGAGTCTTTTCAGGGAACTATAGTGGAGGCTTTGAGACTTTCATACATGGAGATGAGCCAATGGGTCTTCCTTATGTAAAACACGGGTAAGCAATGCCTAGAGAAAACCACCTGCAGCATCAGAGCTCAGTCTAAAAGGGAGATTCTTCTCGGTTCAAATAGGCTTGATCTGGAGTTGATTTTGTTAGGCCCCAGATGGGGTTATAGAAAGGAGTTTGCCTGCTCCTGTCTCTGCATCTCTGATTATGTGGCTGCATCTTTTCTGACCCCTGTGTCATCTTCCTTCAAGGCAGAAACCTTGGGCCCTTGATATGACTCGACATGTGTTGAATAGTACAATCTTTGTTTCAATCTCTACCAGAACCACAGACAGCATGCTGGCATGAATTCTTCCCAAAGGACTTGGCTTTTAGGTAGTTTCAAACAGTTTTCCCTCACTATATATAACACACAGCCTTTCTTCTGAAGGGAGGTGCATGGATTTGAGGTAATACAATAATAAACTATAATCACTGGGGCAGCTATCACTTTGGGAATCTGTCCTGTGGCTCTTCTGGAGCACCCATTCATCCCAGTGTGAAATCTCCTCATAAGAAGACACATGATGAGGCCTGGGGATGTCTTAAGTCTCCACTTGCCTTGAGGTAGTGAAATGAAACTAATGTCCTTTAGGGGAAAATCAAACTGCCATTTCTCACTATTCCCGTGCTTACCTTAACTCTCCTGCAATAAAAGGCTCCAGGTCTCCAGTAAAGGAGCTGAGCAACACACAGCATACTTGGGTTTTTGCTCTACTGCACAGGCATAAACATAAACATATGGGAAGTAGTATATCCTTCTGCTGCTAGAAAGTAAGAGCCATGGCAATAGATTTTGCTCCAAAATTCCTTCCATCGAGCTTTCATTTGGGATGTTCTGTCAGAGTAAATATTTCCTACCATATAACATCAAACATAATATTGTCAACTCACATCTGATAAGACTTACCCAGCATGCTCTACTCTGTTTTATTTTTATCTATAGCATTAAACAATTTGAATATATTAAATGAATCTATTCATTGTCTATCCCTTCCAACAACCCCACCAGAATGTCCTCT